ACAGGCAAGCTATCCCGTGGCAAAAGTAATGGAATTGATTGGTATCGATATCAGGTCAAAATCCTTCTTCCAAAGCTCTTTCCCTTTGCCAATGAGTGTGAAAAGGAACGTCCAAATACCATTGTCCAGGAGGATCGAGCTCCTGCTCATGATCACTATATCCAACATCATATATATGAGATTCATCACATTCAACGGATGCTCTGGTGTGCGAATTCCCCAGATCTCAATACGATTGAACCTGCTTGGACCTGGATGAAACGAAAAACAACTGTCAAAGGAGCTCTACAGAACCGGGCAGCAGCTATAGCAATATGGGAAAGAACATGGAGGGATCTACCACAGGAGCAGATTCAGGCTTGGATAGAGCGGATTCCTGTTCATATTAAGAAGGTTATAGAGTTAGAAGGTGGCAATGAATATAAGGAAGGAAGACTTCACTAATTACACTGTAACTTACTTATTAATTTGAATGATAATAAAAGAATGAGATACAGGATCTTCAGTATTAATTTCAGTGCGTATTTCAGAAGAAAATTGTGGCGTTTTTAGTGCTTAGTAGGGCGAGACAAAACTTTTTGCAGGAGCATCTGTACTGATCTTGTCAATGAATTTAGTAATAAAGAAATTGAGATATCTTTTATGATTATATAAAGGATTCTTCATATAGTAGATCTTTTGAAAAACAAAGTTTATATAGAAATTAAAACTCATTAAAAAGATGTAATTAAATCAATTTCAATTTTATCTGAAATATAAAAATTAAATTTTGAAGAATTGAAAGAATATTATATAATTAAATGAAATCTCTGTTATTTTCCTCATCAATGAAATGTATATAAAATATGATGTGTGTTTTATAAAATATATTTTTGAAATTGTATACATGAATGATGAAAGAGATCTTCTGAATTCATGTTCTGAGTTTGTTTTTATAATAAGAAAGATTCATTACACTGTTGAAGCAAGGAAACCTTGCAGAAGCATGCTCAATTTTTTAAATATATTGAAATTTTAAATACAGAAATAAAATCTATAAAAAAGTAAGAATGAAAGCTTTCAAATGATATATAAAGATTATGAATTGATTGTCAACAATCAGATCAAAAATCAATATAAAAATTTAAAAAAATCACAAACAAATTATTTCATGAAAAAAATAGTGAAATTGATTGATATCACTATCAAATTCAAATCCTTTTATCAAAGCTTTTCTCTCTTTGCAAAAGAGTGTTAAATTGATTGTTTGAATATCATTGTGCAGAAGAATAAAGCTTCATTTCATGATCATTATATTCAATATTATATATACAATATTCATAGTATGGCGTACGCCGTTCAATTGGTAGGATAATTCATGTCTGAGTTTCTCTAATCTAGAAGGGTGGGCGAACGCCCCTATATATATACGTAGTCATCCTGTCAGCGATCCAATCCAGAGGAAGGAGCGATCGCAGCATACGGGAAGAATAGGAGGAATAATAATGCAGGGGCGGAAGGAGCAGGGCGGAAGGGAGACTAGGGGCGGAACGCCACACATAGCATTCAACAGTTGTTTTGATGTGGTAATTCACTGAATCTCAATGCAATTGAAGGAGTTTGATCTTGAATGAAGTGCAGAATGATGAAAAAGAGAGCTTTTAAGAATTGTACAGAAGCAATTAAAGTATGAAAATAAATATAAAAAAATTTACTATAGAAAAAGATATAAATATGAATTGAGCAGATTTTTGTACATATTCAAAAGATTATAAAGTTAGAAAATGGCAATGAGTGTAAAGAAGAAAAGCAATATGAGCAGATGAAGAAATAAAATACTCAACTAACTACACAGAATGACAAATTGACAGACAGATTTCACATTAAATAACAAACAAATTTCATATTAAAAAGGGTGGCATATTGACAGACAGATTACACATTAAAAAAAGTGGCATATTGGCAGGCAGATTACACATTAAAAAGAGGGGCAGATTCTGTGTTGAGTGGCAGTGGAGACAATGGAAAATCAAGATCTGAATATTCAGTATGAAATACAGTGGGAATTTCTGCCAAGGTTTGTGGCGCTGTCTAGCTGTCTTTTTGCCGGCGCAATTCTTTGATAGCGCCCTCCGTATGCAGTTTTAATAGGTTGAGATTTGGCAAGACGAATTCGTGTGATTGTAACTTATCTAACAACTGTAGCACGCCACTGGTGGCAAAAGAGCTCGATTGGTAGATTGGACGAACCAATCTAAACCCCCAACACCGCCCCACAAGCACGCGGGAAAACCAGGCCTTTCTGTTCACTGTTCCACTGTTCCACTGTTGTCTGTTGGAGTGACTAAGTATTGCCTCTACCCTACAAGTCTAAGTGTTAGGCTACTGGGGCAAAAGAGCTCGATTACTACTAGCGCCATGCTGGTAGTTGAGTGGACGAGCCAATCCAAACCCCCTATGGCGAGGCACAATTAGCGCATTATCATTAGTGTATTAACTAGACTGTTAGTTCAGAAGTATCAACCAATAATTTCTCATACTAAAATATATCCAGTTCTATTTGCTGGTACAGGTCCACTATCTCATATTTTCTTCTCAACATACCATGTATTGCTGTGTAAGAAACCCGCACTAAGATATCAGTGCTAGGCCGGAAGTGGTAATTATCCTAAAGATTATGATATCGCCGAACATAGCATCATCAACGTCATCTCAGGTTTGAAATCAAGGCATTATCATGCCACTAGCATCATACTAGGCCATCTACATCATAGCAAGTTCAATCTGCCTACAATACTGCGTGTATATAACTAGCAGCTGGCCCAACCTTCTAGGGGCCAGCGGATCATTATGTTATAATCTGACCCCTAAGTTCTACGACCTCGATATCTAACTATTCAATCCGAATTTCCTTCGATATATCATCGTATTACATTCTATAGCTTAATCCTCGTAGAGTCTTAAGGACCTCTTGTGATATAAGCAGCTAATTCCAGCCCCGCTGCTTACAGTTTCTTTGATGATAAATTTGAACAAGCTATGAAGATTCCTATCATTATCAATGATTATAATCATTATATGAATGGGATTGACCTAGCAAATCTGTATGGAGCTTTCTATAAAACTCATATGCTCATCAATCACATCTGATTGTCAATTCTATACTGGATTATCAATCATGCTATCATCAATTCTTGTATTCTTCATCAACTGTGTGACGGGTTAGCACCCGTTAGTAGTTAGCTTGCGCAACCAACTCCTCGCGACTCCACCCTGCGCTCGTGTAGTCCCTAACGATTCCTCCGCGTAACCCCTAACGTTCTTCCGCTCCGCGCCCCACTACAGCGCGACCTCCGATATTCTTCCGTTCCGTTCCCTTCTCTATAAGAACCCCTTCGTACGACCTTTCCTTCTGATCTTCTTTCTCTTTCTTTCCTTAATCGATTCGTAAAGTGTATTAGAATAGTGCTAGCCGTTAATCGAAGTACGCCCCTTACAAACTGGTTACTACTGACATTACTAGCACTACTGACGCTACTATATCCCATGTTGAATTCTGTCAGCAGCTCTATCTTCAACTTCTGAAATTCTCAAATCCTCTTATCTATTACTCAATCAAATTCAGATTTAAATCACCATTGAATTCGTTTGTCAGAATCTCAAGCTTGTGTCTGATATTAGTATAAAAGAAAGAGAACAGAGCAGAATAAAGATAGAGTTTCAAGATCAAGATATGATTGTGCTGCATGTAACAATATTCCTCTCTGTTTGAAAAGCCAGTGTTGACAGTACATCTGTAGTTTCATTCCTGATTAATTAGAATTAAATCAAATAGATTATATAAATTACACTAAAACATATAAATATAGTAGATCTCTCATATCATCCAGTAGTTTTTATGTATTTAATATACTAAGGTACACACTAAAAAATTGCACTAATTGTGCCTCGCCCCCAGAGGTTGAGCCTAGTTGGTTCTCATCTATCTAGCGGCTGCTAATATATGTAGTAGGCCACTAGGGCAAAAGAGCTCGATCACCACCAGCGCCGTGGTGGTATAGAGGGTACGAATCACCCAATCCAATCCCCCAACCATATGTGTGTATGGGTCACGTAAGGAGTAAGTTTAGTAGCATGATCTACCAGCTTCCAGCCTTCCATACACCACTATTATCAACATATAGTAATAACAAGGTCTATCTTTTCATCTTTCCTCTCTCTTGTATACTATTAATAATCTCATTTCATGTTCTTTATTCTTAAATGTTTTATCTCCCTATATTTATTTTATACTATCAATCTGTCACAAGGACTTTAATAGATGATGTTGAAAGCTTTTTATATCGAGATTCTGTACGAATATTAGTGAGATATACGGATTGCTTTCTCTCACTCACTTACTCATCTACCTGCTTGTTTATGTCTGATATCAAGATCGAATGATATCTGGCAATGGTATCTATTGATGATATGAATATCTAGCAATACCTGGCAACGACATGGAGAGATCTAGCAAAATCAATCGTAGAGAAAAGAATATAATAGAGATTGATTTGGGGTAGAAGATGACTATGTATAAAGATAATTTTTGAGTAAAAGCAGAGATCGTTACTATTAATAGGATGATAGAAATCCATACACCTTATGAAGAGCTCTATAATATAGCAATCTCTCTCTTCTACTCTCAAATCATATCTTCCCATAGCTAATTATCACTACTGTTTACAGTTTTTTAATACTCTTTAATTATTTTTTATTAAAAAGAACGAAGTCATTATGGCAGGCTGCATTATGGGCCTCACGACGAAGGAGGCACGGACTGAATTTATGATAAGCCATGTCAACAACTCTCAAGCAGCAAATCGATCTCTCGAGTCGTTGAGGGAAGCAAGGCATATCACTGGTTTTACCTATGTGGCGGTATTTTTCCCACCTCTGGGATTTTCTGAAGGCGTATTCGGTATGGAAAGCGTTCCAGGACGCGAAGTCATCCCCTCGATGGCGATCACCAGTTTTGCAGCCCTGGTTATATAACAGCGTCCGTTTTTTGGCCTGCAGTTTGAGTTAGATGGTGCGCCAGTATTTAAATCTACAGCGCTTCTATATAGTAAAATGCGGAAACCCCCCTCTCAGAGGCAGTGGTGCAACATCTGCTCAGACCAACCGTCCATCAATGTCATCACTGGCCCTGTCTGTTACACCTTCTTTGCCAATTTTTGTCAAGGGTTAATGAACCACACAGTACGGAAATCCTACGACGAAAGTTTAATGATATTGAGGACTTAACGAAAGAGGCCCAATACATCACCAGATGGTTGATAACAAAGCAGACCTTTCCAGATTCATTTATAATAGTTGATGCTACAGAGTTGAATAAATATGAATACTATATATTCTATTTCATCTCCGATACTCTGTAAAGATTTACTGTTTTATTTAAGAATAAAAGGTGGTTTATTTCTATCTTCTCAGCCTCAAGTCTAGTCATTTAGTATGTTAACTTCCTTGCCACCACGAAACATGAGACATTTACTGTTCATCACTGACAGATTTCGGTCACTCCTGCGAAAGAAAAATGAAAAAATGAAGGAGAAGAGAAACAGAAAATAGTTGAGTGCTAATCAGCTGTTGAAGCTTTCGATCCATTGAGGGTAAATGGCATCACAATAATTCGAACTATCATTGTACAGTACTGTGCAGGACAAAAATCTAAATGAATGAAGTTGAATTCATGTACAGAGTCAAGTTCTTTTGAAGTCCCAAGCTCTCTTTTTATGGACAATAGGGAAGACCGCGGCCGTCATACTCACATAACCTGTGCATCGCACATCGAGCTGAGGGTACCCATCTCCCGCCGGCACAGACCTCAATCGAACTGGTGATACTATCTTGATAGGCGCAACGGTACGTGCCAGGTTTGCATGCTAGAACATCAGCAGAGGCATCATTCTCAGTAGGTGCGGTCAACGCAAGTGGTGTGAGAAACAGAACTAGAGCTGCAGCTTTGAACTGCATGATGAATCGCTGAATCTTGATTATTATATTTATGAGCTTTGATCATTGTGAAATGAATTATGTTGCAGTGACTTTATACCAATCTGGGCTGCATATTTGCTAAAGAACCACGGTGAGCAACGGACGCTAAAGTTAGTTACCTTGCCCCCAGACAGGGGGATTCGCAGTATCCATGGATGGTCTGACTCTAAAAGAAAGATCGGGACCCCGAGCGGCCCGAATTGCCCAAATGGCCCAAGCGGCCCGAGGATCCACGGGCGGAGTAAGAGGCCAAGAGCAGGGCGAAATCTCGGAGAGATAATCTATCCAGATCAAAATATTACACTGCAATACAGTACCTTGAAATGAAACCTAGTATTCAGATTGATCTTTGTGATTTCAAAATCTTCTTGAAATAACTCAAAGTATTTCTAAAATAGAACAAGTTTTTTACCAAGGTTGGCTCTCTTTTTTATTATTTTATATTATGATATTTCATTCAAAGTAACACGGCTGTTTAATCTAACATCATAGTCTTAATCAAGATTCAGCAATCGAAAATGTAGCTCTTTAGCAAATTCATCGCTCTGACTCTGCTTCTTACTCCGCTTGCATTGGCTGCTCCTACCGAGGATACAGCTGGTCTTACCCGATGCAAACCTGGCACCTATTGGTGCAGATGTATGGCCAGCACAACTATGTGTAAGGTCGATGTCTGTAACGCTCTCGGGAAGTGGCAAACTTCAGCCATGTGCAGACCGAAAAGCAGTCCAAGTGGGCCACCCACCTGCAGAGATGGTCCAAACGGCACTGCCTTCTGTATTTAGATATTATATGGGAGGAATGGAATATTCTCTAGCTTCACATGTCCTGTATATATAATCATCTAGATAGTTGACTGTCTGATGTTTGCACTTATCAGCGAGTTAGAGTACTCTGACATCTAACTAAAGTACATCACAATAAGAAATCCAGTCAGCCTGCATGTTACTTAGTCAAAGTGTGAAGATGATGATTCAACTTGAGTTGCATTCTTAATTTTTATGACGTACCAGTCAAGTCCTCAACTGACGGATGATGTGATGTGTTGGTAGATGCTGAGATGGTTAGTTCTGTGGTTGTTGCTTTACAACCTTGGCTGGCATCCAGGCAGGTTGGCTGTTCTGTAAGATAACTGACTTTTAGCCGAACTTGAAGTTAAACTCTCTCAGTTATGGTTGGTACTGTCCTCTTACTGCCCACTGAGATGATCTGCCAAGTCAGCTTTGAAACCTTGAAATCAAATTCCCAAAGGATTCGAGGTTTGGGAGGAATTAGAACATTTGGTCTCGCTTCGGCCAACTATCCTCATGGACAGTCAGCCACAACTTCTAAGTCGAAGGCCAGCCCTCTCTTCCCGGGAATGCCATTTGTTGCAAGATCAAGTGTGATCACGATAACCTGTGGGCACACTGTGTGCGCCATATGGTTCCACGGGCATACTCTTCCTGGATCATCCGACAGAATGTTTCGTCCGCCAATTGATCGATCCACCAAAGTGAGACCAGGTGGGTGGAGCTCGCCCGAGTTGGGGATAGGGACTCAAGGCAAGGGAATATAAAGGGACTCATCTCTGCGCCTCCCTACAGCCTGGGTCTCCGCACTGCCAGCGGCAACGACAACCCAGGCAGTTCTTGATACTGGCTGGCGCTGGCCAAGATGACCTACGATAGTCATTGCTTGACCACCCGGATAAAGGAGCGCCTTTCTGTGACATATCTACATCGGATGCAAAGGGTCGAACAACCTTCAGCACGCGGATCCTGAATCTCCTTAAGTCCTCCTGATTAGAGCGAAGTCTCAACCCGAACCTGTCGCGGTGCCTCTGGCGCGTTCGTCGCCGGCGAGGACCCAATAATGGCAAGCGGCCTTGAATCAGCCAAGGGACTGGGTCGGAGTCCCTTGGAAGAGGGTTAATGAATTCACCACCATCATAGCCCATTAGAATGAAATGATTGGCAAGAGTAGCGAGGACAGCTCATTTGAGGTCTGAAGTGTCCGCCCTGATCAACTAGATCGGTAGTTTTCTCTGGAAATGCAAGTGTAAAGGGAATGGCGTCAACACCGGTCAGCCTTAGAAGAGGTGTCCCAGGCTCAATATTCGGATTCACGGCCCCTTCCTGTTAGATGGCCAAGGTTTATTTGACATCTTTGAAATCAGCAAGTGTATCTATCTGGTGCTGATTGGCCAGGCAGAGAGTATGGCAGGCCTAATGATTTGTTGGGTTAGCGGGCGGATTAAACGGAATAGGGGAGATGCAAGAAGCAAACACTGTTACTATCACTCCCTCCAGGGTGTATACAGCTCCAAGATGTAACTGGTAGATGGTATCTCCTACTAAAAACGGCTGATTGTTCCCATATTTGGTGATGGACCCGAACAATTCGGATTGGGAGCTGCAAACAGTTTGATTGGGAGACTGCTCAGTTGGCGGGTTACAGTTGAACGTGGTTTAAAAAAAGTGAGTCTGAAAAATAAACCATGCTCAGCCCTTCAATCCCTCACTAAAATCTACATACTAAATATCTTTTACACACCCTCACTGCATATTACTAATCAGTCCTTATTAAGTTCTTTGACTTCAACATCTGAGGCTCTTCAAGTTATGTGTTAGAATTAGTGATCTAGAGTTAGAATCCAGGTTAGCTAAGGAATAGAGCCCTGAGAAATATGATAAAATCACTGTGTCCAACGCATTTGAAGATGTGTGAGATATGTATGAGGCATGACTAGTGTATGTAGTTTTAATGGGGTTTCCTTGCCTCTAGAGTGCCATACTTCCCGGAATGCTGTGACGAATATCCATCCGAACCGCCGTCAATGCTGTTTGGCTGGGAAAGCCTTGCTTCCTGTGGGGGCTGTGGGCTTCCAAGCTGCTTCCAAGCTGCATGAATTGAAAACTGCGTTACTGCAGGTACTGTTCATATCGTCCAATCAAAAGGATCGCAGGGCGAGTGAGATTTCAGCACATTGCGTGGGAGGGGAGGAATAGGAGACGGGCCTCGATTTTCGTGTTGAAACTTTTGATAATGGATTGGGTTATTCTTTCGTGGATTTTTAATTTTTAAGTTTTACTTCTTATTTTTTAATTATCTTGATGCGATATTTTGTATAGCACATCGAGGTTTGCCTTTCCTTCACCTTTCTGCACTTACGGATACTGTGTAGCATGTTTGGGGTAAAAGTATGTCCAAATAGATGGTCGTAATAAACTCAATAAAGCGGGCAGGAAACCAATAGTTTTAGTCCAGCAATAAACTGCGGGCTTGGAGAGTCTTTGCATCATTATTGACACAGCACAAATTCAAGTCCTCTGGCTGAAAATAAACAAAGGATTAAATTTGGAATGCAAAAGATTCGCTTCAAAAACCACAACGAGGGATGAATAATAAATAATATATGCAGGTTTGCGCTGGCAGGTGGAGAAAACTAAGAAACCTCTTGTGCCGAAGAAAAATGTTTCGACTGTTTCATCGCCCCTGTAGCCCTGCCTTCGCGCGGTGGGGATGTGACTTTTTGAGTATCCACACAGCAATAATAAAAAAGCATTGTGAAAGTAAAGCCTAAAAAGGCACACAATATGCAGGGGAAAGTATTGATAACAACGGGATTTAGGGAAGGTTCGGGAGCGAACCCGGGGACAACTCGAACCTTGAGTGGGTTATGCTTGCGGGTTCCTGGATCCATCCCCTGATGGAGTCTTCTCGAGGATCCTAGGGTTTGTTCCAACATAACGCGGTAACTCAAGAACTCGTGGTACGTGGGACGACGAGCACGATGGAGCGTCGAGAATCGAAAAATTGAATGGCGATTGGTGTCAATAGTAGAGGTTAGCCTGTTTCGACAACGCCCTTGCTGTCAAGGCAGGACGAGAGCGTGGGTGAAACAGGGACACAAATGCCCAATACCTCCCGGCGCCAGAAGAAACAACCCGCAGTTCGCCAGTCAATCCGGCATCGTTCTGCTGATTTTCCTTTTTCCTGCATGTTTCTCTGCATTGTTTCTCTGCAATCAATGAATCATGACCGCGTCGTGGCTGCGCCGCATCGGGACGAAGAAACCCACTCGACGGGTGATCCACGTGACCTGCACACCGCTCCAGCCGCGAGCTAGTCCGCTTTTGGCCCGCGCAACCCCAGCTCCGGCTTCCGCGTCGAACTTCAACGTCGCTTTCACATCTTGACTTCTTCTCGTTTCTCGTTTCTCGTTTCTCGATTCTCGATTCTCGATTCCCACTTCTCGTCTCTCTCTTTCTGTCTGTTTTGTTGTCTGTCTGTTGTAGCTCCTTGCTTTCTTTTCCCCCGCTCCCGGTGATCCTTAGCCTCTCGTTCTTTTAGTTCCCCAAGGCGCTGATTGCGTCCGCGTTCGTTTCGTTGTGTCGTTTCAGAGGATCACTCAATTGCCTTCGTTTCTTCCCCAGTCGCTCTCTACCTTCATCCCCGTTGTCCACCGTCGCCATGCATAATTAATTAATTAATCACCTTGCTTCGGCTCTGCGCGCAGTCGAAACCGGTTTCGCTCGTTTTACTACCCGCCCGAGTCCAACAACATCAACAACATCAACAAAGCGATGATAATTATTAATTCGACGCATCTCGCAAGACGCTCTCTTCAACATTGGCCGTTGTGCTGCCTCCGTGCTTTGAGCGTACCTGTTTATATGATCGAGAAGTCCTCTTTTGGTGGTTTCTTGTTCTTGACGACTTCATTTCTTCTTTATTTGATGCCTTCACGGATTCTTTTCGTCCTCTCATTCATGAACTAATAATTCTCTCCAAATACTTCCACACACACACACACACACACACACACATATACATATATATATATATATATATATATATATATATATCCTATAACCATAGACAGCAGCATTTGGATCGATCTAGACTCTATTTATATCATATAATCCCGTTAATCTAATTGTTTCTCGCCAGCACGTTTCAATTGAAACACCCTTCTTTGGGCCAAGGAAGGGGAGATGGAAAAAATGCCCCCTAGCCCTAGTAAATTTCCGCCTTTGTCTCCAACAACCCCGAAGCGCAGGGCTCTCCACGCACGATCGAATTCTCAAACAAATGAACAAGTCTTCCCTCCGACGGTGCGACTCATACAGGATCAGGATTTGCAGAGTGAAACCGAAATATACTCCGCGACACCCTATCCGACAAAGCCTCAACATATCTTGTTGCCGCCAGCGAATCAAAGGCAGGGATCAGCTTTCGATGCAGGGTATAGCGTTTCACATTCAACCCCTAATTCGATCTCCCGTTCCAGTTCGAGTGTCAGCCACGACCAGAGCCTACCAAGTCCAGATGAAGGGGACGTCTCCGGACAAGTCTCTTCCATCCACGGAACACACTCGTCCAGCCAAACATGGGATGATTCTTTGAACTCAAGCAAGACGTCCATCCCCCCGTCAGAGCCAGGGACTCCCCGGGCTTTGCGCCGTGGAGGCCGGGAAGAAGATGACAATTCATCGAAAAGTGATGGCATCCCGCTTCCCTCCACAATCATATGCGTGCCGCAGGACCACCCTTCGTCTCCTCCAACCAATTCTCCCATCGAATCGACTTACTCTGACTCTGTTCGCGGCGATGACAGATCCAGTCCCAACCTTATTCCCATCGGCCTGACCTCCAGCCCAAACGTTGTACCCATCAATCCTTCGTCACCGAATCTGGTCCCTCTTGGAAGGTCGTCTCCAACGTTGGCACCCGAGCCACTTACTGATTCTTCGCTCTACGAAGCCAACTCAGTTGGAACTGCAAGACGGTACATCCGCGCCGGTCGGCTTGACAGCAGTCAGCGGAATAGCACCTTAACAGTCGATGGTTCTCTTTCTGATCCGCAAAGCTCTACTCCGTCGCATTCCATTCCCTCGAGTCCTCCAATTGCGCAACTAAGATCCTACCAGTCAACCTCCTCGTTTGGTGGCCTTCCCTCCACGACGCCATATAGAATCCAACCATCGACCTCATCCGCATCTTCCAGAAGTAGTCGATCCGGTCCAGATGGTCATTCACCCACGGGAAGTAGTACTCCCATCCAATACCCCACCATTCGTTATCCGTCATCGAGTTCGCGGGCCGAACCGTCGATATCGCGGTCTTACGTGCGGTCCATGACGGAGCGTTTTTCTGGACGTTGGAACCCGCATTTGTCCACTGTTCCGTCGGAACGGTCTGCTGAGAGGTCTCAAAACCTTGCGACCCCCTCACCCCGCGACCATCCGCCCGAGGAGAGTTGGCGGAGACGTCTGGAGGATGCTAGAATTCGCGATCCCTCAAGTCCGCCGACATGGCAAGCGGACCAGTCCGAAATCCAGGAACAAGGCGACTACCCGACTCATTTGCGGTCCCCTGCTCTCCGACACCAGGCCTCTGGAACCTTAAGTCACAAATCTTCTCTCTCGGCTTTGAACAATTCTAGAAATCTCCTTCGTTCGCCAAGTGGCAGCTCCCTCCTCCATGTGATCCCTGCTTGGGCCCGAGTATACTATAGCACGGGAGCGCAATTCGCGTCGCTATTCTCTCCAGACAGCCGCCCCTCAACACCCGCGTCTCCACCCATGACCGCCGTTTCCATGTTCGCCACATATAACGACACACGCATGGTAAGCCGGACACCCTTAGGGATTACCAACCCCAGAATACGTCCCCGCGGGATCGAAGCTTCTCCCGAACTTGTTGAACTTGATGAGCCCGACGATATTGAAGAACCTCCCCCGGTCGCAGTCACTGCCAATCCCGACCCCATTGATCCGAGGAGCCACTGGGTCCCTGATCCCGAGGTGGACCGCGTTATCACTCAAACATCAGTGGAGAACCTGCCGGGTGCATGGTCTCCGCATTTGCATATGGATAAACGAGCGCGCCCGGCACTAAGGAGTAAATGGAGGCCGCCATCGTTAGATGAGGCGGCGGAGGAGCTTTTCGGCCGGCGGAATGCGCAGGTTTATGCGTTCGTGTTCGGTTTCGTATTTCCCCTTGGTATGTATATTTATTTCACCCTTAAGCTACTGGCATGTGCTATGACAACTAACGAATGTGGGTTACACAGCTTGGATAATCGCCGCCTTCCTTCCTCTTCCCCCTCAGGTTTCCCACATCAACGAGGAGGCGACCACAAGTCGTCCGGATTCGGAACATGCGTTTAACAGCCGTGTGGTCCTGGTTGACGAAGTTCGCCACGCAAATGCCAGGTGGTGGCGGAACGTCAATCGTTTCATGTCTCCGCTTGGATTGGCCATTATTGTTATTGTGGTGCGTATTACTTCTTAATTCAGACCCAATGGGTACGGATGTACAGTACCTTGGAAAACTAACTCTTTTTGGCGCGACAGGTAACAATGGCTGTTCTCTTCTCGTAAAAAACGGCAGTGATAGCTAGAGTTGCAGCTCGTCCATCTACCTCTGCCATCCTGCCAACGAACCTTCATTTTTAACGGTCTAATTATGAAACAGTTTCCCGAAAGTATATATATAAAATAGAGTCGATACGATATATCCCTTGCCCCCTTCGAAGTCTAATGTCTTTCTGTCTGATCCCCCATCCAAAAAGGATAAAATAAAAAATGATAAAAAATATTCACTTCCGTCTTCTTTTCCGTCGAACGCCCAGGTGCGACCGAATCCCTTTCATACATCCCACAGCGTGGCGAAAGTCGCAGTCCAGCATTGCCTATATATCTACGACCAGGACAAAGGAGATTTTTTTTTTTTTTCCGTGTCTCCTTGTTTGCGTTTTTATTTCGTCTTTTTGCTTCTGATCTATTAGCGCTGGTGTCTACTGGGCCTCCCTTTTTCCACTACTCTTACATATTTTACATTTGTTATATTTATTCCTATTTTTTTTTTTTTTTTTTGGCTTTTGGCTTTTCTGTCCTTGTTGGCTTTTTTTTCCCATACCCCCATTCTTAGCCCCTTACCCGTTCTACCAATCTGCATCTGGACATATATACATATATTTACTCTCCGAGTTGGATTATATTACCAGTTTATCTCGGCCCGGCCCATATTTCCGCCAATTAACTTAATGTCTTTTCTTATTATCCATCCTCCGCCATTAGTGATATATATATATAACCCCACTCCTTCACCTCCCATTAATTGATCCCATTCATCCCTATCCAGGTGAAAACTTCACGCCCTCCTCCCCGGCCCCGCGGAGATTCCTTTTATTTCTATGTCCGACCAGCGTGCTGCTTCTTCCATTCATCGCCCCATCCCAATATATATATATATTCTTGTTTTTCTCGTTTATCATCTCTTAGAGACGGCACCGTCCCAGCGGTGCGTGCGGTTGGCAGGGTTGACTTGTATTTCTGGTGTATATTACTAGTGCAGATGCTGGTGCCGGTGGGGAAAGGACCCGGGCTGTATATGTTACTCAACAGTATTCTGTACATGTATATATAACATACATACATAGCGTACATTTTTAAAATTATTTATATATCGGGTTTTTATCTTTGGTTTTATCTTTATTTAATTTGGGGAGATTCGATTAGTGTATCATTTACCACTCAAGCGGCGTATGTATATATTATATTAGTGCGCATGTGTGAGCGATGAAGGACCGTTTGTGTTTTTTTCCAGAGGTAGATGGGGGCGGGGGGGGGAAGAGAAGGAAAGACAAATAAGTGGGTTTAGTGCCGGAAAAAGCTGAATGAAGGTAGAGAAAATATATATATATAGCTCCATCTATAAGCCAAAAAAAATATATATATATAGTTAACAAAAAGGGAAAAAACGGGTATATATATAATATATACATATATATATATATATATATATATATATGACATGCATCGCGCAGCGTGAATCGACGTGAGGAAAATGAACGACGAGAAAAAACCAGAGCAAAAGGACAGTCAGTCATTCGGTCAAGTCGCAAATGAAACCAAACCCCAAACCCCGCTTAAAGCTTCCTTCCAAGCTTCTCCTCCACCGCCGCCATCAACTCGCGCCCGGAGGGCATTGCGACAACACTCCCTCTCCGCCTCCGCACCTCAATCTCCCGCATGACCTCATTGACAGCATCCTCGATATCCCGCCCAGGGTTCGGCGGCAGGCCCAGCACCGGCTGCTCGCTGGGCTCGTGGGGCTCGCGAGGACGAGAAGGCTGTCGTGAAACGGGACCACTACCGCGAGCCCTTAGCCGCTTGACCAGGTACCGTTTCGCGGGACTGGAGAAGAAGGCCTGCGAAGCTGCGATGCCCACGATGCCGTAGTAGTACACGCTTGACCAGACGTGAACGCTTGGCTTGAAGTGGAGGATGACGAAGGGCGCCGCGGTGAAGGATAGAGTTAGTTGGGTTGTTAGCCAGGTTAGGATGTCGTAGAAGCGTTTGTAAGGGGTTGGGGCGGAGCCGTCTGGGGTCAGGAAGAAAGGGCGAATGTTGCGGCGGAAGTCTAAGACCGAAAAAAAAAAAAAAAATTAAAAAATTAAAAAATTAAAAATTGAAAATTAAAATTTTATGAGTTGATTATTGGTTAGTTTGCAGGAAGAGGGGAGGCGGGTGGAGGTGGGCGTACTTTTTGCAGTTGTTTGAATGAATGCACCGAGGATGAAGGTGAAGTAGTATCCTGGGTGAAAGCCATGCCAGAACGCGCTCGTTGCGAAAGTCGCCAGGCTGGCTCTGAACCCTGGCTTTTTGCCCCTGGGCGTGACCCGCAAGTACATGTAGTTTTTCAGCCAGTGGTTGGTGTTTTTGTTCCAGCTACTGAGATAAGTGTGTGGGTTTGGCGCTGTTTCAAGATCCTTCGGGTTCACGTTTTCCAGCCGATTCCACGACACTTTGCCCGTATTCGGATCGAAGCCATTGTATCCCATTCCGGATAGGATGCAAGCGCCCTCTGTCAATGACCATACTCCGTAGTATTTGAGCCGGGAAGTAAAGCCCAGCATGTGGAGTATCCATACTCGTCTCAGCAGGCCGTATTTCAAATACCTATCCCCGAGGACAAAGTCGACATTATATAAACGTCCAAACTGGAGAAATCCAAATATATAGACCAAGCCAAATGCCGCCTTTACGATGGCCGGTCTACCGCTTCTCGGGATCTTTCGCTTCTTGCGAGTCTGAGGCCTCTTCGCCGGATCCACTCCCGGCGGCGCATCGAACATGGTAGTTTCGATCCACCTTCGATATTCCACGTAGTCGAACGCCGGTCCGGGCAAACAGTGATGGGAAAAAGAATGTATAGTCTCGCGAAGTCAAGCAGGCTGGGGAGTTTGGTGATGGCGGCGTATTTTTGTGACTCTGACAGCTGCTCCCGCGGCAATCGTCCGTCATGCACGTTTCAAGCAAATGGTCGTCAGTTTCATCACCAGCACCATCTGA